GCTCTTTATTCATCTGGATCACACAAATACAATATTTGGGATAACCTATCTGGTCATCGTTGACTTGGCGGCATGAACACCAACTCGTAGTTGACGACGGGTAGTCTTCCTCCTCGAGTATGAACTCGTCGAGATGAGAGATGCCGCTAGATCCCTCTTGTCGGCCCCCGTGGGCACTGATGGGGTTTGCCAAGGCTAATCTGATCTCTAATGTTGATATCTGGTGACGTGTGTTGGCTTGTGTGTATGTTGTGTTGGTCTTGTGGCTTCCGTGTATGTTGGCTGTGCCCCCTCTCCTCCTAGGGGGCTTGTATTTATACCCATGGATAACCCATTGTCCAAGTAAAACTAGGGAGACCAATATGGATACAATCTGGGTAGTCTTTGTCATTTCCATATAGAACTCTATTTGTCCTTCCTTATCCGGATTTCCTTCTATATACGAAGTTTGATTCCGTATAAGACATGGTATATGGTGGGCCCCGCCGAGCTGAATCGATTACTATTGGGTATGTGGTATCCATAACCCTGACAGGGCCTATGTGGCCCCACATTTTATCCTCATTACTCCCGTCTTGTATCTATCTTCTCTATCCTCTTCTCTCTATCATCTATAGAGTCCCACTCTGAAGCGGCGGCAAGCCTCAGGCGGAGCGGAGCAAAGGGATGAAGTGGGGTGGGCGGAGCGGCAGGGCGAGCGAAGCACGGTAGCTGGATCAGGCCGATGGAATGGAGCGGACCGTCGTCATCAACTGCTATAGCACCTGCCATAGTTGCCGCGCTCGCCGACGACTGCTCGAGCTCCTCCTCCGGCCATCTCCACCGTTGTTGCCCCCTTCACCGCCCGTGGCCTGCCTTCGCCGCTGCTCCGTCCACGGTCTACCGCCGCCACCGCTCCGCTGGCATGCACCGGTCACCGCGTTGCACCCGTCCCACTCCGCTAGCATGCTCCAACCGCTGCCGCTCCGTAGTGAGACTCTACAGAAGGATAGAAAGAAGAGGAGAGAGGATAGAGAGGAGAGGGGGTAGTGAGGATGGCACATAGGGTCACATGGGCCCTACCCTTTTTTATCGTTTTATGTGTGATACTTACATGTGGGTCCCACGGGTTTTATTATTTTTCTAGATCGATTGCCACATATTTGTCACGTCAATGCCATGCAGAACAAAGATCTAATCACAAGAGCCACGTAGGCATCACATTAGCCAAAACCAGGGACAATATTGACAAGGGACCTCGTTTACACGGTTTTTTAAGTTGGGGATGCGTTGTAGCCGGTTTTATCATCCAGGGATGAATTTCGAACTTTGTGACAAATTGAGGGACCTAACGTGAACTTATTCCGCTTTGGAACTAAGGGTGTTGGGCCAGCTGAGGTTCTGGCCCAAAAGGAGTTAGACTTTTTGAAATTAGGCTTTTAATTAGTTTTATTAATTGTAAGTCCTAGATTTATTGCTTGTTATTTACTGGAAAGGTCACATATTAATATTCCCCATAATATATGTGGGTTCCATCTGTAGTAGTTTTATAGAATTAAGTGATAATTGACATTCTTTTTTAAAAAAAATTACATAGTATAACGCAGACACTCACAACGCACGCACACTCACCCCTATGAATGCACGCACACAAACCCTACCCCTATGAGCATCTTCGAAGACTGGGCCGATAAATCATCCTTAAAATTGACGAAGTCACCATAGGCGTCTCGCTGTCGACGAGTACGTCGCCTACCATTGAAAGCACAGTGTCATTAAATCCTGAAAAATTCGCTCCCATGGGGAGTCGAACCCAGAAACTAAGGTGGCCCTACTTTAGTTTTATACTTCAATTAGGAGAATTCGGAATTGGGGGTTGTACTTAATTCTTATTTTACTTGTATAATCTTTACTTTAGTTTTATACTTCAATTAGGAGAATTCGGAATTGGGGGTTGTACTTAATTCTTATTTTACTTGTATAATCTTTAATTCGGAGAATGTATGATTGATTCATTGTTTGTATTTATAAGTATCGGAAATTAAAAATTTCCCTTTTTTGTGTTGTCTTTTATTTATTTGAGATTATCGAATTATCTTGTAATTCAATTTGTGATTGTAAGTTGCTTCCTTACTTGGGTCGATTCAAGCAAAGCACTCAAAAAAGCACCATGTTTTAAAAAAGTTAACAAGTTTACACGTTTTTATTAATATACGATTTTTAGGGTGTTACAGTTTCCCTCTCCGACTCGGATCCGAACTTGCTGGGGAGGCCCAAGATAAGGACTACACGCCGATCCAAGAAATTTTTATGGCCTCAAGAGCTGAGGATGAGGAAGCTCGCCGATTAAGGGAGCAGTGGGAACGTGAGGACAAACGCCTTTGCAAGGGGGCAGAAGATGAAGAACGGCAGGGCCTGCAATCAGGATCCGTGCACGAGTTCATGCCGTGTTCACCAAAACTATAATCACAACTGTATGCTTAATTAAGTGCTATATAAAAAATAATTACGCAAGTATGAGATGAGGTGGTGAGAGCCTCAGAATAAGGAGTCTAGATTAATTAATTTATGAATTAGGTCATTGGTATGTCTAGATTGATAATTCAGACAGAGTGGTACATCAGGGTTGATAATTTCAGATTATCCGTGTAAACGGTCTATCAGAAAATCCAATAGAAATATTAAATAATCCGCATATGCCGGATTTTAGAGATACCACATCCACATCCGAAAGCGCACCATACTATTTGGAAACATATACCATATCCTCGTTTCGGATGGATTCGGAGCGATTTTATCTGATCCGTTTTCACCCCTTCATAAATGTATGATTTTAAATCCATCTATAATCTACGAGACTATGAAGGTGACATCTTCAGCTTATACACTTCGGTTGTTTGGGCATTCAGCTCAGTGAGTGACATCTCCAAATTTGTGCACAAATAGCTATATCACGGTAGTGGGTCTTACTATGACCCTTCCCCTCCTTCACAATTTCGAACAAGATTCTTTAACATATTATCTTCTAAATTTGAGTGACTATACCATATATATATATAGGCCACACATACATTACTAGAAAAACTATTTTCGCAAACATCCGCTTTATTTTTTAGGTGGGGTCAAAAGAAGACCCATCTGTGAAAATTAGGAGAGTCCCTTGTCAAGGCTCGTAAATAAAAATCGATTTTACACGCACACGCTTAAATTGCTCACCTACAAATTTTTTATAGGCGAGCGTCTTAAGCATGCACCTTTAAAAATTTATTTTCACGTATGGAAACTTAAGCCACTTGCAACCTCATTTCCGCAAACGGGCGGTTTGAGTGTGCACATGTGAAAATCGATTTTCGCAGACATGCGGCTTAAGCCACTCACTTTTGAAAAATCATTTTTTTAAGAAAAAACATGTATCTACACCTAACTTTTTCATACAAAGTTGGATGAAGATAAAGTTTATATCAAAATTTTTTATCTTGATGATATCTACAGTTTTGTAGTTGACAATTTTTTATTTGAGATTATTTTAGAGGCTGAAACATTTGTTACAAAAATCTCACATGTATTTTTACAAAATTTAATATCTATGCTTCGAACGATCTCTGATGAAAACATGCGCTACATCAAAGTTATAGGGTTGACCAGATTTACAACTTTGTAATGGAAGACTTTTTCATTTAAGATTATTTAGAGTACTAAATAAACGTTTTAAGTTTCACTGATGTGAAGTTCAAAAGAATAGCATCAACTCCAAACGGTAAGAACTAGATAGTGTGGTGGTTAGGAGGGATGCGTGTGGACTATGACGGCCTGTTTGGCGAGAGAAGGGAAGAGGAATGGGAGTTTGAAGGAGGGAGTTGAGGGTGGGATTGGTCATGGGAGTTACATTTTTAGTCCTCATCGCTTGTTTGGTTTCACGTTGAATTCCCTTCAAGTCTCACGAATTAACAGGCCTCCCCCAGGTAAGAGATTGGTGGGAGTTGGACCCCTTAATTCCCCATCCCGAACCCTCTTGAATTCCCAAGTCTTCCAATCAAACTATAGACTTAAACTCCCAAATATCATAAACTCCCATTCCCTATCACTAACTCCCTCCAACCAAACATGCCGTGAGGTCTTGAGTTTGAGTCCTATATACTTGTATTTAGTAAAAGAAAATGATGTGTATTGTGATTCGGGTGTGCAAATGTTTATGGATGGTTACTAAAATTAAAAAAATATTTTTTTATTTTGTTTTGGTGCCTAAAAAAATTCAAAAATGTGAAAATTCACTTTCAAAAACAATCCTCTTATGTCGTCCACTTGTGAAAATCGTTTTTCTCATACGGCCGCCTTAAGCCACCTACTTGTGAAAAAACGATTTTTCCACTCGACTGGACATCCCACCTATGATAATCTCTATTTTCACAAACACCTAGGAGGAGGCGGGGTCGCTCAGCCTCTTGCGAAAAATAGATTTTGGCTGTCTGTAGAGACCATTTCTATAGTAGTGAGATAAATACTTGGCCCACATGTCAGCCATCCAATCAAAAATACTTAGGAGTATCACACTATCAATTCTGGGTTGGTTCGGGCTGATTGCTATTGTATTTGTTTTATACTACCTCTGTTTTTTAATAGATGACGCCGTTGATTTTTATCACACGTTTGACTATTTATCTTATTTAAAAAATTACATAATTATAATTTATTTTTTTGTGAGTTGTTTTATCACACGAGGTACTTTAAGCATAATTTATTTTTTATATATTGTGTAAAATTTTTGAATAAAATGAATGGTCAAACATGTGTTCGATAATTAACAATGTCATTTATTAAAAAACTGAGGGAATATATCTTTCGGCTTTTGGAGCCGGCCCCATCTTCCCATTCGCTCCACAAGGAAAAAAAATGTCTTAAATGGCATTGCTGCAGTGTAGACAGTTATACTATGCGTGACACTGGCTAGAATCGGAGCAATTATTTCCACTCCATAGTTGTTGGAAGTATCCTAGTATATATACTCGATTTGGAGAAATCTATCTATATATTCATTTTGAGGTATATTCATTTTGAGGCAAATTTGGGAGAATTAAGGATAGTCGGGATGACAGACAGAAATTTACATGGAAGGAATCATCCATCGATCAGCTAACAAACTACTAGTAGTACCGGAGAAGTACAAAAAAAAAATGTCAGAATTCGAGGAGCGTGGTGGACATGTTGAGCAGCGGCCCGAGCGCGCTGGGCGCGAACTTGCGGGCGAACAGGTAGCACACGGTGGTGGGCTTGCCGTTGTACGCGCAGCGCGTCCCGTTGTTGCGGATGGCCTGCACGAACGCCGGCGTGACGGTGGCCTTGCCGAACCGCGCGGGGTGCGGCCCGCCGCGCGACCAGTCCACCCAGGTGACTGTGCGGTTGGCGTTGCGCGCGCCGTGGCGGAGGTGCAGGTACGTCGGGATGTAGTGCTCGTCCGGGTAGCACGACGGCGTGCAGTGCTTGCGGAAGATGGCATGGTACTTCCGGTCGGCGACGATGTCGGCGGCGAGGTCTCGGCTCATCTCGAACCACTCGGACCCCTTCCGCCACTGCTCCTCCAGCACGTCGGGCGCCATGCGCGGGTTGTACCGCCCCGCGCACTGCGGCACGTCGATGTTGTACGACTCCACGTAGCTCTGCGCCGAGTTCACCAGGTACTCGTACACCGTCGGGAAGTTGAACACCGGCACGCAGCTCTCGGAGGCGAGCACGAACCGCTCGTTGGAGAAGTCCAGCAGCGCGTTCGCCAGCAGCCGCTTCTCGGCGTCCACCAGCGTGATGGAGCCCCACGACACGTCGCCGCTCGGGATCTGCCGGCCGTGGAACGGCGACGACGACGACACGTTCAGCCTGTACTCTGGCAGGGCGTGCACGTACACGGAGTAGAGCCCCTCGTGCCCGTGGAAAAACCGCTCCCACAGCGGCGCGAACGGCAGCGGCCCGCGCGTCAGGAACAGGAACGCCACCTTGGGCACGCGCTGGTACGGGTACTCCTCCACGCGCGGCGCCATGGACGCGCGCCAGAACAGCTCCTCGTCCTTCATCGAGTGCCCCCATGGCGGGTGCGGTTGCACGAACCGCTGGAAGCTCAGCGCCGCGCCACACCCGTCGTCGCGACACCGTGACCCCCCTTCCCCGCCGCCTCCATCTCCGCGCCGCGCCTCCGCCTGCTTGCCGCTGCCCTCGACGTAGTAGCAGGACAGGCTCGCGCTGGTGGCCAGGCCGATCAGCACGCCGGCCATCAGGATCAGCAGCGCCGCCACGGCCTTGAGGAGAATCCCCAACGACCAGCACCACTCCTTCCGTGTCGCCGTGGGGAGGCCGCCGCTGCCGCCAGATCCCTCCTCCTCGTCCCCGGCGCTGCTCCGCCGAGACTTCAGCAATCCCGGCTTCATGGCGGACCACGAACCGCGGCGGCCGGCGACACCCGCGTGGAGTAGGGGCGATTCGATCGGATGGACGACGATGACTGCTCACCGTAGGCGATGGCCAGATGATAGCTGGCGATGTCTGCCCGTGCCCGGCCGGCCGGAGATGGTGCCCGGTCGTCGTTGCTCCGTCCGGTGGTGGCAATGCAACGACATGCACGCGCGGACGAACACTCTGGGCGGGCAGCTGCTAGCGATTGCGAATGCGAATGCGATGGGAGGGAACGGCCCTGCGTGCGTGCATGTGTCTGCGCGCGTTCCTCGGCTCATTGGCCCTCTCTCTGCCTTGCCTTCCCTTCCCTCTAATTTAATTTGCACCTCTATTTATTTTTATCTTGGGAAAGGCCATTTAATTTACCTCTATGTCATCTCTTACATACTAGCATCCAAATGGTCATAACAAAGTTATAAGATACACCATTTATGAATAAGTGACAAATCGTCTTTTTCAAATAATTTCAAAACATTTCAGAAACGTTAAAATATTAAATTGTATTTTCAAAATATTTATAATTTCTTAAAAAAGTATGGCGGCACTAATACGCGCGCAATGCTCGAAACAGTAGTTCGAGCGCCGCACAACGTTCCCTCCATCCGGTTTTTTTCGTTTTTTACCAGCCCACTTTTCCTCCGTACACCATCTTTCCCTGTCTGTTTTTTTCAATTTTCACCACCTTACCTTGTGTATTTTTTTTCTTCTTTCCATCTCATCCGTGCTTCATCAAAGGGTCCGATAAAATATTAACCATCCAGATTTTTATATTTTCTCGTTCCATCTCTTCAGATTTTTGTGTTTTCTCGTAAAATATTTACCATCTAGTTTTTCTTTTCGAGTTTTCTATTTTTCTACTGTCTCCCCACATTTCAAAAGTAAAAAAAAAAATACTATACGGAGTTTTCCATTTGCTCCCAACCTCCTAGCTCTGCACCTTCAAAAGTAACAATTTACTCCTATGAATGCATCATTTAAAAGTAACAAATTTACTTGCATGAATGCCCCCACATCGTTTGGCACTGTTCCTAGATCGCTATAAAAAAATATTACCAGTGTTATAAATATTGTTTAGGCGTCGTAGTCTACAAGTAAAACAATTACTACCTTCCTCTCTATATAGCCCATGTTGGCAAGGAGTTAACTCTGTTCCTTCTCCACTAACTCTGAACCCTATAAATCAAAGCCAATTCTAGCCAATGTTGGTTATCACTGCTCGGGCTAGCACCCCCCTTGAATAATCACCAACATTCACACGAAGCCTAGAACAGATGGGGAGCATTTAGGATTTGGACTAGAGGGAATAAAGTGGGCGTAATGGGGAATGAGAGCGAGAAGAAGAACCTGGAGTGCGCCGTGGGAAGATGACCATCGCCGTCGATGCCGGCGCAGCGCTGGATATGCCAGTTCCTTCCCCCACGCCAGTCTTGAGTTTTGTTTGAACCAAAAAGAAAAATCCCGACAACTTGTCCCAGCGTAAATGAGATAGACGCGAGTGATTGCGCAACTAGAACCATAAAAATAGCTAGTCCCGTCTGGACGGGACACCGGTAATAGCATTTCCGTAAAAAATACATATGATGTATTTTAAAACGGATGATTGATTACTTCATTATTAGTCTCCCGCAACAAACTTCATGTTTGTTTGTGATATGTCTAAGGAGCCTGATGCTCTAGCTAATGCATCAGCCGTTGTTGAACAGTCTGGCTCAAATAATGATGCGAAATTTGTTGCTTTTAATTTGGGTGCAAAACACGGGGAAATGATAAGGCCAAATCAAATTATTTAGGTGGGCTCATTATGTGTGGAGATTGTTCCATGCCAAGAGTTTGGCCATGCTTAATAACTTAATTAAGCATCTACCATTAGTAACTTAGCCGCTACGTGATATGTTTATGTTAAAATTTTGTACTTGAGAGGTGTTCTGGTTGTTTCTTTCTTTCATTTTTTTTTTTTGCTATATGCATTTTATGCAAAGGCCAGGGTACACAGTGATTCAATTTGATTGCATCATCTTTATGTAATTAACTGAGTCTAAATAAAGTTTCTATTATCTAAAAAGGTAACTTAGCTGCAATTTTTTAATATTTCTGCATATAGCTTATATAGATGAGTTTAGTCAGAGTTCTCGTTGTGTACGTTAGACGCATATACATGGGCTGGCCTACGTGCCACATACATATATATTGGCCTTTTCTTTTGTATCAGGTTAGTTTTTTTTTTTTGGGCGGTGTTTACCGTCGAAAGAGGTATCTACCGAGGTCCATGGCGGCGACCCCGTCGTTGCTTTCTTGAAGTTGTGCCTCCACATTGGTTTGGTGTGGAGAATAACTTTGTAAAAGTCATATTTTAAAGCTGAAAAGGCTATTATATTTTTTAAATATATATTTTTGATATAAGTTCTTATACTTTATTCTTATGGCAACGCGTGGGGTTGTCGACTATTACTATAACTAGGACGAAAGCCCACACACATGCATGGACATATTACTAAATGCTATATAACAGTAGTTACTCTAAAGATGTGAATATTTATTTATTTATTTATTGACAAAAACCGCAGGAGAGACTATGCACATGTTGAGCAAATTCCTCCTTAAAATGAAACTTCCAAGAAATGAAAGTTGGATTAACTTTTCTAAAACTAGTAATATGCCCGTGCTAAACGCTACGGTGCAATTCAAATTGTCTTTAATAATTTTTAATATTTCATGTTAGCAAAACAAATATTTTTATGATCATATTACGTGGACAGAATAAATCTTTACAATAATTAGTTATATATAATAATTTCAGTATACAATATACTTCAGTATACAATATACGAGGGCAATATACGCTTAAAAAATATGTTAAAAAAGTATAGAGTTGTTCCATTATTTGTTGCGGACACAAAATAGAGCATTTAATACATATATATAATATACTACCCTGTAGGTAAATAACCATCCTAGTGTTTAGCACTTGTGACACACTTCAGAAATTTTTCTTCCCCGTACTACAAATTGTTAAGAGATCGTGCAAATTTAGTTAACAAAAGTCACCCGTTTCTGTCTCCATAACCTGCAATAAAAGAAACCATGATTGTAAAAAATGACACAGCAATTTTCAATTCATTCATTTCTTCCAAGGTTCATATCTTTAGTCTATTTCCCATGAAAATCAGGAACCACATGAACAAACTATTTAATTATATCATTGGTTGTAAAAAGGTCAGATTCGACATATGGAAAGCAAGAAGAGCTTAAATGTAATATGGCGTGCTAACACTACATACACCACAATTTAGTAAAGCATTAAGTTTTTCTAATTTGATAGCATCTGACGATGTCACAATCAGAGCAAAATTGACACAACTGAACGTCTGGTATAGATCCAAGCTGAAACATCACTCATGTCAATGGAGAATATGTATGGATCTAAATTCTGCCAATTTATGAAGGGTTCTACAACCATGCAATATTTGGATACCAAACCTAATATCAAATTTACTGGACACAGTATTATCTGATCATGAAAGACTGAAGATATGGAAAGTAGTTAGAGCTGACTAATTAAACTAATCATGGACATGATTTTACGGATTAACAGTCTGAAACTACTCTAACAACCAAACCATGATGAATTATGAACTGTGATATCTTAACAGATAAACATATGTGATGAACGAGAGCAATTGTTTTTATTCTAAATTCCAGCACATGCAAAAAAAAGGAAAAATAATATCTTCTAATATCAATCAATCAAGGAAAATAGGAAAAAAAAGAGAGAAGAAACTGCTTTTACCTTCAATTGAGGCATGAACCAAGGATGTCGACTGGAAACAACAGGATATGGGCACAGGAGAGCTCTGATTGGCAGGGTTACGCATGGCAATCTGCTAAACTTGTTCAAATTAGCGAAATTTCTGAGAATTGAAAAGAAGCTAAGACATCTATTTTCAGTTATTTACTTGAGGGTAGAGAAGAGCAATGCAAATAGAAAACTATATGAGCCTAAAACATTTCATCCCAAAATACACCACTGAATCTTGTCTAGTAATTTGTTTTCTCATCCTTCTCCAATTCATGGCATTACTAAATGAAGTTTATCTTCCAAAAAAAAAATACTCCCTCCATACTCGTAAAGGAAGTCGTTTAGGACAGCGACACGGTCACCAAAACACAACTTTGACTTCTTAAATCTATAAAAATATTTATTGAAAAGTGATATATGTATACTTTTATGAAAGTATTTTTCAAGACAAATCTATACATATAATTTTTACATTTTCAAACTCAACAACTTGAGAGTTATTCATGATTTATATTCCCAAGGTTTGACTTAAACATTGTCCTAAATGACTTCCTTTATGAGTATGGAGGGAGTATTGATCAGTGGTTAATTGGGTTAGCTTGTTAACATGAAATCAACAATAAAATGATATGATTGGGCCAGCCTTACTATTGAAACCAAGAATAAAATGATATGATGGGTGAAATGGTCTATTTCCTATGACATTTCTCAATAATACTAATCTACAATTTGGCTGTCATTCTATGAAAGATTGGAAGTGAGAAAGCACCTGGAAAGAGAAAAACCAAATCATGCGAACTCTTAGTTCCAAAAATGCATGGTTGTACCTTCCTGATAGTGTTTTTATTTTCTGGCAGGGCTCTTAATAGGATTTGAACAATTGAAAATGGCCATGCGTGTGCAACAGGAAATGTAAATTCAGTATGAACCCCACAATAGATACAAAGGAAGAATCTGTATAGCAACACTTCTGAACATTTTTGAAGATACAAACGAAAATATAAATTCAGTATGAACCCAGTAATAGATCATAGGTTAGCTCTTGCAAAGTACAAGTACAAAGAAAATCAGAGGAACAAAGATCCCTCTTGGAATTCAGAAGATCTACTCCAATATTCAGAATGACCAATAATAATTCAAACAGTAGATCTCAGAATCAACTTTTTGTACAATACATAATATCATTAGGTTTCAATAATAAATTATGAGAATAACATTTTTTTTCAAACTAAACAGTAGACCACCATATTTTTATCCTAACTGAACAGTAGACCACAATATTTCCATTTCATCTTTCCCCGGGACAGCATATGCTTTCTCTGATACGGCATGAAAAGAAGAGGACTAATGGTTGAAAAATCTAAAATTTGCACTGGAAAATAGAAGTGAATTTGACAATTGGCATCACACGGAAACACTTTATTCAATCATCCAGATCCATTTCACCCCAAATCCAATCATTTTACTTTTCTATCAACCAACAAAACGGTCACAGTGCACGGCTTCATATGGCACAACTACATTATCTAGAAACGTCATAACTCAAGGAAACATCTATCACCTTGAGAAGAGGTTGACGGTGCTGCATAAATGAAAATATACATGTCACATTTCAGTTAAAAAAAAGTGTTCTTTCAGTCCAAGTTGCATAAACACAAAGTCAGGAATTGTAGGATTTTGTAGGTACAGTTTAATGTTTCTTAAAGATGAACTGACATTCATTTACTCAAATCGTAGGTAAAATCTGACCCCGACGCAAGCACAATTCACATGCTATCTTGCGTGCAAAATGGAAACCTTGACATGGTAGTGCTCACATGCTGTTGACATCAATAGGAGGAATAGAGAGCAGGAGATAGAGTAGGCAGTGTTTTACCTGTTTAGTAAATAGTCTTAGGGAGGTGAGTGCGCCATGGACGAGGTTGCCGGTGGTGTAGTCTGTGCCACGTGAAGGATTATCCCGTGCCAGGGCAAGGCACAGAGTATCTTGGCAACAGATGCAGTTTCAGAGTCTTGACGGCAAATGCAGTTACAGATCGCGGATCAACAGATGCAGTTTATATAGTCACCTTGATATGCCTTAGGAGATCTTTCTTCAAAGCCTAAATCCCAGTGACGCTGACCTATTTTTAACATTTACCTCATGAGGAAAACAGGAATCCACAAAGCAATGCATACATAAAGCAAAAGTCAAGACCAAGGACAACACTTTAGGTTTTACATCAACTTATAACTCACAAATAACTACAAAAGGTGCATGCATGCATGTAGATTTTACTCTAATCTAGACACCAAAGTGTTGCATCTGCATTTTCTGTCTTAAAATGCTTTCTTTTTCGCTGAATAGTAGCCACTGATGCAATACAAGGATCATAATGGCTCCGTGGTTCTCACTTCCTAGTGGGGCCCTGCATTTCAACAACGTCATGTCCTAACTCCTGATCTTAACAATTGTCTAAACCATCTTACCTTGACTGCTGGGATCTCACATTGTGACACAAAAGAGAGAGATCATTATATTTTCTTTAAATAGCAAATATGGGATAAATAAATGAATAAAGTTCAGAAGTGACACTGCCATGGCACAACCCACAGCAGACGGTCGCCCGCTCGAGGGCCGCCTCGCACTCCATGACAAGGAACCACTACTACGGAAATCAGTATAGGCGCCGGTTAGGAACCGGCTATAGATGACGGTTTCCCCGCCGGCACCAATTGGTGGGCACCTATGCTGGTTTTAGAATCGGCAGCTACAGAGATTATAGATGCCGGTTATTACCCCCAACCGGCATCTATGGGTTAGGGATTTTTTTTTAAAAAAAAAAACGTCTTCAAGGAATATAGGAACTGAAGCATCCCGGTGATCTCACCACAATCAGAAGCAAAAACTTACTCCAAGGAAGCAGAAACTTGTACCATCTCACAACAATCTCGAACCCACCATACATACGAAGTAGAAACTTACCACTAATCATCAATCTGATGAGCTGCTGCTCCTCATGAACATCCCGCGCTTACGAGACGAAGCCCTCCTCGCCTACCAGGGAACCCCACCTCCAGATCGATCGGCAGGGCGTCCAGACGTCTGTCGCTAGCGGCACGCACCCTGAATGAACAGAAACCAAATCAGAGAAAAATGAATCCGCACCTCCGCCGCTAGCGGCACAAACCATGAACAAACAAAAACCAAATTAGAAAAAAAAAGAAGAAATCCCTTGATCATAAGGGCGCACGCACCTTCGTCCCTGGAAGCACACCTCCACCGATCCGCCTCGCCCATGCATCAATCGATCAGCCTCGCCCTGAGCGAATCTCACGAGTCAAGAGATGCGGCAGAGGAGGGATTGCTACGAGGGAAATAGGAGTACCTTCGATTCGACTCGAACTGAGACGGAGGGCAGAGGCGGGAGGGGCGGAGGCCGGGCACCGCGTCGCGCCCTCCAAGCCTGCTCGTCGCTGGCCGTGCGTGGGCGCGCGTGACGCGAGGAGGCCGCGCAGAAGGGAGGAGGAGGAGGAGTCCGTCGAACACCTCGCCCGCGAAGGGAGAAGGGATTTGGGCCGCCTCGCCGGCGACGAGCGCGAGGGGAGGAGGCCGGAAGGGGAGGGGAGCCGGAGGGGGAGGAGGAGGGGAGGGCGGTGACGGAGGAGGCGAGGGGGAGGGAGCCGGAGAGGAGGGGAGGGTGCGGCGGAGGAGACGAGGGGCGAAGCGAGGAAGAGTGGAGGTGCGGCCTGGCGGTGATCTGACGACGGGAGGAGCGAGAATGGGCGGCGCGGCTTCGGCGGCGGTGGCGACCTGGCGACGGGAGGAGCGAGAATGGCGAGTTTTTTTTTTCCGGGATAATCGCGAGATTTGGGGCGACCGTGGGGGACGGGAGTTGCGGGGAGAGGAGGCGCGGGTGGGTGCGGGAGGGAGGAGAGGGATCTGGTTCATTGGATTTGAGAGGGTGATTTTGGACCATTGGATATGTGATTCGACGAATGATGAATGATTAAAAGAATTTGTTGAAGTATATGGGTAGAATTAAATGATTCCTCCTACACCATAAACTCTATAATTGAGCTATTGCCATTAAATTATTACAATAAAAAATAATTCGTAGCAATATATTGTAATGTTACAATGATAATTTTTCTGTGGCAAATAATTATATTTTATTGCAACGATCTACGATCGTTGTTTTATTTAGTACTTTTGTTGCAATAGAAAATGAGATATCGCCACAAAAAATCTTATTGCTAAAAAAAACATGTTCTATCGCCACAATTTTAATTTTTTGGTAATTTACATAGTACATGGTACTTTTCACTATTTTTCATTGCCACGATCAGCAAATTCATTGCAATAAAAAAATTGTCGTCTCATAATTTAACTTAAATTTTTCATATGGACACGGATTGAGACAAATTTTATATGGAAATTATAGCTCTCGACGAGATCTATAATTTTATAGGTGATAACATTTTCATTTGAAATCTTTTAGATATTCAAAACTATGATTCAAATCTCAGTTAGGCACGCTCAAATGGAACGATATGTATTTTTCCAATAGAATTGATGTGTAGGTGAGTTGGTAAATGAGAGTATGTGTGAAGAATAGGTCTTGGGCTCGAATCCTTGCCAAGACACAATATCAAAAAAAAAATAGATAGGATGATAGACTAATATTTGAACTTTTAATTTGGTATATAGAACTAATGCCACATTATAGAGTGGTGGCAATCATTTTTATTACAACGATGTGAAGTGTTGCAATATGATTTTTTTGCCACATCCATTCCGTGACAACATCGAAATTTATTACCACTAAATAAAAATCGTTGCAATAACCTATTACTACGCTATTTATTACCACGGTTAGCAACGATTTTAAAATTATGACAACATGTATCTATTGTCACAATTTTAGTATTGATGCCACGATTTTTTTCGTGGTAATGATTTTTCTAGTACAGCAAACTATGGCGACAAATTCCACGATTGCTGAATATTTGATTTTGGATAATTTTAACATAAAATATTCTTTAAGTTTATTTTATACTTATAATTCTAAGTAGATAATGCGTACCAAGGATCCACTAATAATGCAAGTCTAAAAATCATAGCCTGATTTTCTCTGATTTAAGATGGTGCGCTGTGGCGTAACATGTCATAATTTATTTAGTATTGAAACAAAACAAACATTATTTTGACTTAATTAAAATGCTACAACATTTAAACCGCTTGTAAAGCCAATGTAACATACACTATGATCAACTAAAGTTCGCTTATTTATAAAAATACCAAAACCAATGGACCCTACATGTACGCATGGTGCATGTGGCATTGGGCCATTGAAGTTATAGATGGCCATCATAAGACCTGCCCGGCACGGCCTGGCCCAGGCACGGGCGAGGCACGGCCCAAGGCGATCTGGCCGGCACGACACGGTCGGCACTTCGGGCCATGCCGTGCCGGCCCACGGGCTGCACCTTAGGCCCAGACACATCCCACCAGTAGTCGGGTCGTGCCGTGCCGGCCCGAAGGCATAGGCAGCCCATCGTGACTTTTTTAAAATAAGTCTATTTTCCTTCCATCCTCTTTGGGATGTGACATATATATAGCTAAATAAGTCTATTTTACGTCCCGACTCTTTGGGCCGTGCCATATAATATATCTATTTTGCCTCCCTATTCTTTGTTATGTGCCTTACATATGGTTGAGAATAAGTATGTTTCGTATCCCTAAACTTCGGGCCGGGACGTGCCGGCCCAGCGTGCCGAGGTAGCAGCCCAGGCACGGCACGGCTATTGGGCCCCGGCCGACACGGGCATGACCGAAGTCGGGCTGTGCTGGGCCAAAATTACCGGGTTTGGGTGGGCCATCGGGCCTCGACCCATATGACCATCTATAATTGAAGTCCATAGTCGGTGTATTTCTAAACCATCTACAATAATGAATCTACTAATTTAAGTGAAAACCAATAACCAGATATTTTAATTCTTTTCAAAATTTATAGGATTTTATAATTTATTAGAATAATCAAGAGAAGAGAAGTCATAGAGGACTTTAAAGAATGTTTTTTATTGAAATTACTATTGGGCCTCGTCCAATATATAAAGGTAAATTTTGCTATAGTACACTTTGGTTTCGTGGTTTTGGCCGTAGGACACCGCCCAAACATACTTTTGGGGGAAAACACTCCGTAAACGTGGTAATTTGTCAATGGACACCGTATCGATTAGAATAATAATTTTCGGTCGAAGGGGGGAGAGAAATCGCGTGAAATGTCAAAAATGTCCTTGGACCCACATGTCAGTTATATCTCTTCTCTCACAATCCTCTCCTTCCAGCGCCGCAACGCATGCCACCGTGTTGGAGCCCCACGTCGGAGCTCGCCGTGGCCTCGGAACTCCTCCTTCTCCTCCACGCCCCAATCCCCAGGCAACGCGGACGACGACGACAGGGAACGGCGGTGGCAGCACCGATCCAAATCTAATCGGCACAGCTTCGGCAATGCCGCCCTTGTCGTTCTCTTCCCACGCCCGACCTTCTCAGACCTGCTCCGCCGTGGGCGACGTGCGCCCTTCCTTACTCTGCTTCCCCGCGTTGCGGCGCATGCCAACCTCACTGTCTCGCTCATCGTGGCGGAGGAGATGGCGAGGATAGCGGGAGCGACTGCGGCGGCACTCGCGGTGGGAGCGGCGGAGGACGGCGAGGACGTGGCGAAGTGGCACGGGGCGACGTCGGTCACCGGGGCTCGAGCTTGTCGCGGCAGAGGAGATGGCGAGGATGGCGGGAGCGGCAGAGGAGGCGAGGAGGAGAGTCGCGTCGTCGTCGCCAACTGCGGCCACTCCCGCGGCGGAATGTATCCATGGTGCTCGTCGCCGGCTTCACCTCCGCCTTCATCCGCGACGTCGACTTGTACCGCGCTGAGCCCTGGGACCTCCTGCTGCCGTCGCTGCCGCCGCGTTAGTCCATTATCTTGCATGCTCTGGCCTGAGATCGATTGCGACGACATTGCTTGCGTGCGTGCGTTGGCTTTGATCGATGTGCCGTCGTTGTTGATGTGTGCAGGTGTGGCGGCGGACGGAGCTGAGGAGTAGGAGGAGGAGCGGTGCGGTTACTTCTTCTGCACGAGGAGCTTCAGGTGGCCATCGGGAACGAGGACGAACAGGGCCACGGCGGCATGAACAGGGGCACCCTCTCCTTCATCTCCCAAGGCGTGACATGTGAGAGAGGAGAGATAGCAGTGCTGTCATGTGGGCCCAAGGATATTTTTGACATTTCCCGCGATTTCTCTCTCTTCTTCAACCGAAAATTATTATTTTAATCGGTGTGGTGTCTATTAGCAAATTACCACGTTTATGGAGCGTTTTCCTCTAAAAGTGAGTTCCGACAGGCGAAGTGTCCTGTAGCAAAATTTGTCATATATAAAATACTATAGGATGTTTGATGGACTTTTAATGTGTTTCCTCTAATTTCTTGGGAGGCGGCATGCCTCTCAAGATAGATCAGATAATATCATTTTGAGGCTTCACTATTTAAAAGCATTGGGAGTAAATGTTGTAAATAATAGATGAGTATCCAGCCGCGTTGATGCGGGAAATCAAGTTACATAATATGTATAAATAAGATGTAATATAATTATTAAAACTAAAACAAATTGATACTTATGAATTTTGAGCCTAAAAATAATTGAAATTGCATGGTGTTATGAGAGAATAAAGAAGAGACAATTTAAACTATAGATCTATCGTATAAAGGCTAGAAATAATTAGGGTGACGTGGCTTAATGAGAAAAGAGAAATAGCGTTAACTTAGTGGGGATGAACTATATAAGTATATAGGATTACTCACAATCAGATTTAGCCCCTAGCAACGTATGTCCAAAAGTTATATCTACATATATTTACATACTTCCCCTATTCCAAAGTATAAGTATTTCTAGCTATGAATCTGGACAGACTATTTTCTAGTTTCATAGCTAAAAATTGTTATATTTTGGGACGGAGGTAATAATAAATATTGTAAATGTTATTATTTCTTTCAAGAAATTTTATATTTTATTTAGCTACAAATATATAAAATGATAATATAATCTATATGGTCAAATGACTTTTTTCCTTACCTACTTGAAGGTATATGTGCACACCAGATCTCAAATATAGTTGAGTTGATGTACAAACACCTCATTACACTACTAAAAAATAATTTTCTCAGGCGAGCTGATGTGACCAAGGCACCTATCTCTTTTGCCGGTGATTCTTTGCAAATTTGTGTCAACCAAATTGAAGAGAGAAAATCAATTAACCCTGCTACTGGTTTGATGCAGAAAAAAACTAAAGGAGTACATATATGTTGGGTTAATACGTGTGGTGGTTTGATTTGGGATTCCTAACCCGCGCGTACGCTGTCCAGTCACTAACCATGTGATTAGCACTAATGATAACGTGATTAGTGATTAGTGCTAATCATAATTAAGTACCTACAATAACTTTTTTTTTCTAATAAATTGAAAACTTTCAAGTTAGATTTAAAAACTTTCAACTTATGATTTAAACTTTGAAGTCAAATTTTGAAATCTTTCAACTCAATAATTTTAAAAATTTTTAACTCGAAATTTAAATTTGCAAGATAAAATTTGAAAACTTTCAATTTCAACTCGGATTTGAAAACTTTCAACTCGAGTTTTTAAATTTGAATTATAAAAAATATTTTTTTATTAAAAATATCTTATAATAAAAAAATTGATAACTTTCACTGCATCCTAAATTAATCAAGATAAAAACATAAAAAAAGAAAGATCGTATAGATACATGCATGCATGTGTGGGACCAAGGTGCGCACTGGTGGAGAAACCATCTTTCGCCGGTCGGCCGATTTCCACAATAGTCCCGGATGCAATAAAAACCGGGGCTAAAGATGATC